CTTGACGAGTGTAATAACGTTGCTTACATGAGTAATTACATTGACAAGTGTAATAACGTTGTTTACATGAGTAATTACATTGATGAGTGTAATAACGTTGCTTACATGGGTATAATTACATTGACGAGTGTAATAACGTTGCTTACATGAGTAATTACATAGACGAGTGTAATAACGTTGTTGACATGAGTAATTACATTGACGAGTGTAATAACGTTGCTTACATGAGAGTAAATACATTGACAAGTGTACTAACGTTGCTTACATGAGTGTAATTACATTGACGAGTGTAATAACGTTGTTTACATGGGTATAATTACATTAACGAGTGTAATAACGTTTCTTACATGAGAGTAAATACATTGACAAGTGTAATAACGTTGCTAACATGAGTGTAATTACATTGACGAGAGAAATAACGTTGTTTACATGAGGAATTACATTGACGAGTGTAGTAACGTTGCTTACATGAGTAATTACATAGACGAGTGTAATAACGTTTCTTACATGAGAGTAAATACATTGACAAGTGTAATAACGTTGTTTGCATGGGTATAATTACATTGACGATTGTAATAATGTTGCTGACATGTGTGTAATTACGTTGACGAGTGTAATAACGTCGTTTACATGAGTAATTACAGTGACGAGTGTAATAACGTTGCTTTAATAACGTTGCTTACATGGGAATAATTACATTGACGAGTGGAATAAAGTTGCTTACATGGGTGTAATTACATTGACGAGCGTAATAACGTTGTTAACATGTGTGTAATTGCATTGACGACTGTAATAACGTTGTTTATATGAGTAATTACATTGAGGAGTGTAATAACGTTGTTTGCATGGGTATAATTACATTAACGAGTGTAATAACGTTGTTTACACGAGTAATTACATTGACGGGTGTAATAACGTTGCTTTAATAACGTTGCTTACATGGGTGTAATTTCATTGACGAGTGTAATAACGTTTCTTACATGAGAGTAAATACATTGAAAAGTGTACTAACGTTGCTTACATGAGAGTAAATACATTGACAAGTGTAATAACGTTGTTTACGTGAGTAATTACATTGACGGGTGTAATAACGTTGCTTTAATAACGTTGCTTACATGGTTATAATTACATTGACGATTGTAATAACGTTGCTGGCATGTGTGTAATTACATTGACGAGAGAAATAACGTTGTTTACATGAGGAATTACATTGACGATTGTAATAACGTTGCTGGCATGTGTGTAATTACATTGACGAGAGAAATAACGTTGTTTACATGAGTGATTACATTGACAAGTGTAATAACGTTGTTGACATGAGTAATTACATTGACGAGTGTAATAACGTTGTTTACATGAGGAATTACATTGACGATTGTAATAATGTTGCTGACATGTGTGTAATTACATTGACGAGTGTAATAACGTTGTTTACATGAGTAATTACATTGACGAGTGTAATAACGTTGTTTGCATGGGTATAATTACATTGACGAGTGTAATAACGTTGTTTACATGAGTAATTACATTGACGAGTGTAATAACGTTGCTTACATGAGTAATTACATTGACGAGTGTAATAACGTTGCTTACATGAGTGTAATTACATTGACAAGTGTAATAACGTTGCTTACATGTTTGTAATTACATTGACGAGTGTAATAACGTTGCTTACATGAGTAATTACATTGACAAGTGTAATAACGTTGCTTACATGAGTGTAATTACATTGACGAGTGTAATAACGTTGCTTACATGGGTGTAATTACATTGACAAGTGTAATAACGTTGCTTAAATGAGTGTAATTGCCTTGACGAGTGTAATAACGTTGCTTACATGGGTGTAATTACATTGACGAGTATAATAACGTTGCTTACATGAAGAATTACATTGACGAATGTAATAGCGTGGCTTACATGAGTGTAATTACCTTGACGATTGTAATAACGTTGCTGACATGAGTGTAATTACATTGACGAGTGTAATAACGTTGCTTTCATGAGTGTAATTATATTGATTAAATGAGTGTAACTACATTGACAATTGACGAGTGCAGTTACATCGATTAAATGAATGTTATTACATTGTGTAATAATGAGTGTAATAGCATTGTTTACTTGTGTGTAATTGTATTATTACATTGATTAAATTAGTGTACTTATATTGAATATTGCCTTGTGAAGTATTTTTATTTGAACCTGGCAAAATGTTGGCGAAGTTTAGCTTTATTTAATGTTGACCAGTGAAATTATGAGTGAAATTATAACCCTAAAGAGTGTACTATGCCTTTATAATGAGATCTATTTTAGTATGAAGACACGGCTTGTCTGTGAAACCCTGTTCTGATAAAATGATAAACCACAAGGTTTTTAAAGTAACGAAGAATGAATGTACCTATAGTGAACATAATTGGTCAATTAAATAATAATTATCATTGTGACATTGTTTTCTCCCCTCCCCTCAAGACAGGTTTCTGACGAAGCTATGACTGGTTATGAGAAAAATATCAAACCCGGAAGCTTATCAATTAGCAACTCCAATTAATGTCTCTTGGTATAATTTCTAGATCCCAGCAACACTAATCATCGTCATCATTATTACCACGCTTTCCAATAAAACTGTTACATGTAATTGTTTTCCAGATAAATTTGTTGAGCATTCTGTTACATCATATGGTTCGATCCATCCATTATCGACAAAACTGATTTCTGGCGAGAATTCGATATTGTCTGGATCTTTTTATAACAATGTAAACAGTTAAAGGTTTTGTTGAGATCATAACGTAGCTTTGTTAACTTCGTCAACGATCAAAACGTGGTCTTATTAACATGAAAATTATTATATAATTTTCCGTTTTCATAAAAAAAAGTAAGAGATAATAAGAATGTCCATATTTAATCCGAACAGCAAAACTATTGATAGGTACATACTGTTCCCTCAAATCAAACCAAATCAAAAGTTTTATTTAACGTCGGTATGATTAAAAACAATACACTCTAATGAGTTATCAAAACCTTTGGCGTCACCCTTATCGTTTTTTCTTCTGATATTTCCATTTTCTTCCTCTTTTGTGATTTGGTATGTTTGTACATATAATTGAAAGAATTCGAAACGTCAAAAATGAATCCTTTTTTAAAATGTCGGAAAACTGCAACTTTTAATGGAAATGAAAAATCATTGGTCATCTTGTATTTGTTTCTTGAGGTTCATTTCTCTGTCATTTTTTCTATTTTAATCTGTCTCTCATGCATACGTTCATTCCTAGCTCATCTCACCGATATGTCGTTCGTTGTTTAAGGTTATAACATCGAAACTAAACCTCCTATCTCTCTTTTTAAATGTAATGCGAAACGTCCTGTGTCATGGCCTTATTACACAAACAATCGTTATCAAGGAAATAATGAAAAGCGCTGTAAAAACGTCATGTTGTCTGTAACACATCATTTTTAAAGTGGCACATTTATAAATAATAATAATAAAAAAAAATCGTCATTAACATTGCATAGTGAACGTCAAAAATATCGACAAAAACCGAGTGACATAAATAGCGGAGGACGACACGCACTGCTGGCCTCGACACGGGACGTGACGGCTCTGCGGGGGGTATAGGCCAGGCCAATGGAATATACGGCTATCGTCTTAAATTATTGTACCATATGAATTTGATAAATTATTTACAAACGTTCAATGGGATGGGTAAGCAGACAACGAGTATTTGATTAATTCACCACTATCTTACGACTAGTCAATTAGTGATTGTTCAGTGCTATTTCTTAGCAGGTCTTAGTTATAAAGAACACCTGGATCGGACACGTGAGATACGTGGGGCTAAGGCTTGTGTAGAAATGGTAGATTGCATGATGTATTGTATTGTTTGAACGTACACACTCCACGGTAAACATCTATACACGAGGGTGGACAGTTAAACTTATATACAATGCCTTCAAAACCTTAGTCATAACAAGGATTTCGTGCTATAAATAGCTGTCAGTAAAAGATTGAACATTGATGGAGGACTCCAAAAGTTCCCTTTTGAAATAATTTCTTAATAGTTTTTGTATAGTGAAGACGGATTGAAACAATAGTACAATAATATATTTTAGACAAAGAAACACAATAACGGATGTATTCATCAACAATTACATTATCCGAATCCTCATTGCTAATGTGTATTACATATTAACTAAAGCACTTCTTACATAGATGCTGTGCAGTCTGATATATAACATGATAAAAAACACACACAAAATAATTCCCTGATGTTTAACAACTATTTAACAGCACATTTAAGGTCGTGCCGGGTTTTGGCGGCGGAGGAAAACCGGAGTTCCCGGAGAAAATCTGCAGACCTGCGAATGGTACCTGGCGTCTGCCCAACTTAAGTCTCAAACCCACGACCCGGAGGTGGAAGGCTAGTTATCAAAGATGGTCAAACATCATAACAACTCTTTCAGAAGCTACTTAACATATTAACACACATACCAAAAAAACATATTTTAATAGTGTTACATATTAGTAATTCACAAAATATACATTAATACTCCAATATTTGATATATCATCAGTTACTTACAGATTATATTAAATACGCCACTGATAGGTGGGTTGGCTTGGCCTAGACGTTACAGGTGTAGAAAGGTGTACGGGAGATAGAGCACTAATCACTTAATTACTGCTGAGGAACATATATAGAGGAATGGACAACGCGTGTACCGTCCCCACACACGACACGAGGGGTAAGCGCCAAGTCGTGTTAGCGGGAACCTTAATGACACAAAACTAAAACCCGGCGCCGTCACTGCAAGTCCGGATTGACACAAGGGACAAACTAACCCGTCTCTGCAACTGACAGTCCGGATTGAGACCAGGATAAACTAAAAAACGTTCCTAACTGTGTAAATGTCCGGAAAAGACTCGTGTGGCCAGATTTAATTAACGGATAATTATGATGCTCAAATTGGAAAGTTTCATTTTAATATTTTCTTTATTTTGTGTTCAAAATGTTTTCCCCGCTCCTCGCCGAGGACCTGGACGAGGAAGGATGTTCCAAAGAGCTGGTAAGTACATAAAAACAAGGATTTTTCTGCTGATTTTTTGTTCATGATTTATATTTTCACACATTTGTTATATACTTGTATCTCTTGATCATTTCTATGAAAAATATGTTGTTTTTGTACTGTTTAGTATATTTTTCTGATAGAGGGTTTACTGTAATAGAGGATGTATGATTTAAATGGCTCTTTTATTTTATATAAGGTGAAAGTAAAACCTGCACGAATTCCATATGAAATGAGCAAAAAGCTTAATTTCAAAATGAACCTTAACAAGTTCAGTATGATGACGCATAAAAGATTGCATTCATTGCAAAAGAGCGAAAATGTTATTAATGATATTTATTGTCTTGAGAAGAAAATGCTTATTATCCCCCGCTTTCACCGAAACGGGGGATATTAATTTGGGTTTGTCCGTCTTTCCGTCTGTCTGTCTGTCTGTCTGTCTGTCTGTCACGCTTCGTTTCCGTGCAATAACTGCAACAAATTTTAACCGATTTTCTTCAAACATGGTCACAAGGTTAAATGCCTTAAGGGCTCGGCCAAGTTTGATGGCCACTTACAGTGGACTTTATTTGGTGAAGTTATGGCCCCTTGAATAACGAAAAACGTCATTATCTGCCGTTTCCGTGCAATAACTGCAACAAATGTTAACCGATTTCTTCAAACTTGATAACAGTGTTAAATGCCTTAAGGGCTCGACCAAGTTCGGTGACCACTTACACCGGACTTTTATTGGCGGAGTTATGGCTCCTTGAATAACGAAAAACATCATTATCTGCCGTTTCAGTTCATTAACTCTCGCAAATAGTATCCGATTGTTTTTAAACTTAGTAACAGGGTTAAATGCCTTAAGCGCTCGACCAAGTTCGATGACCACTTACAGCGGACTTTATTTGGCGGAGTTATGGCCCCTTGAATAACGAAAAAGGTCCTTACCTGCCGTTTCCGTGCAATAACTGCTACAAATGTTAACTGATTTTCTTCAAACTTCGATGACCACTTTCAGCGGACTTTATTTGGTGGAGTTATGGCCCCTTAAATAACGAAAAACGTTATTATCTGATGTTTCCGTGCAATAACTGCAACAAATGTTAACCGATTTCTTCAAACTTGATAACAGTGTTAAATGCCTTAAGGGCTCGACCAAGTTCGATGACCACTTACACCGGACTTTTATTGGCGAAGTTATGGCTCCTTGAATAACGAAAAACATCATTATCTGCCGTTTCAGTTCATTAACTCTCGCAAATAGTATTCGATTGTCTTTAAACTTAGTAACAGGGTTAAATGCCTTAAGGGCTCGACAAAGTTCGATGACCACTTACAGCGGACTTTATTTGGCGGAGTAATGGCCCCTTGAATAACGAAAAACGTCATTATCTGCCGTTTCTGTTCATTAACTCTCGCAAATATTATCCTATTGTCTTTAAACTTAGTAACAGGGTTCAACGCATTAAGGGCTCGGCCTAATTTGACAACCACTTTAATCCGACTCCGCTTGGCGGAGTAATGGCCCCTTGATTAACGAAAAACGTCATTTTCTGCAGTTTCCGCTTAATAACTCTAGCAAATATTAGCCAAATTCCTTCAAACTTGATAACAATGTTTGTTATCCTCTGTCTTTCCACCCTTCTTGTGACTCTTTGGTTTTCGTGTGATAATTGCTGTAGATATTGTGCAGATATTTCAACCAATTTCTGTATGCACATCCGACTCATGCTAAATTTGCCAACCGATGTGATTTGTGCATATTTACGGATAATTGATGAGGTATAAGGCTTTTTTTCCGTCGAGTTTCAAGCTATACATTATGTCTCAACAGCACGATACTCACATGTTTAAACCTAACCTCAATAATGTTTACCTAAAATATGTCCTGCAAACGGGGATATAAATTCCATTAATTTGCTTGTTTTAGACAGTAATAGACATTTGTTCACCTTTTATTTTTACATCATTATAACATATAGTCTTTTATGTCACGTAGAGGCATATCGACGGTCGATCTTTCTTAATATTCTACGAATGAGAAAAAACCGTAAGGCGTTGCAATACAAAGTAATTTTTTAACTGAGACGTCACGTTTAACGTTACGTGTCAACGGACTATTTGTTTGTTTGCTTCAACTGTTTTAAAATTGCGCAGTTGAAATCATTACAGTGGATAACAAACAAACAAACAAACTGCGAGCAAAGTAATTCCTGATTTTTAAACTATATATATGATTTGTTGACAAACCGCCTTGAAAAAATCTCTTCAATATCATTAATATCTATTTTTCAAAATTACTTCTTTTATTTTTATGATTGATTAATTGATCGATTGATTGAGTGTCTACATGGTTGTTTGACTAAATGATTGATTGTATCATAACAACCAAAAATACCAAAAGTCAGCTATACTCACGGTCCGGAGGCAACTTCATTGGATGTCCCAGCACCGCCTTAAAATAAGAGTATGCATACAGGACAACCTGTAGTAAACGAAATCGCGTCATTCTTGGCGATTTAAGTGAAATTTAATTAAATATATGAAACTAAATGAATGAAATGAAAGTACGAGAGATAAATCCTGGAAGTCCTCATAATTTAAAAGTTATGCCAAGAGAGAGAGAACGGCACGAACGTACAGAAGTAAGGGATGCGGTAGGCATATGTAGCCTACTTAAAGTAATTGCTATTTTACAATTCGCCGAATAAGTATTATATGTAAGCAAATCGAAATAAAGTACATGTATAATATTGATGCATGTAACCAGACAAACTTGTGATTCAAACATTGACCGTCAAACAAAGACATATAAAACAATAAATTCACGAAATGACCTGCTATTCCTACGATATTTTCGTAATTATCCAAGCATTGTTATCTTAATAATATACTGGTCACGCAATGTAATTGAGATGGGACCTTTAATTTATTCTTCATATTTTCTATAAACTCGCAGTAGCCATTACTAGGAATCACAAACGGAGGGACCGAGTAATATTAGCCGCCATGCATAAGGACGTAAAAAAATCCAGATAGCTTTCAGCAAAACCTATTATACACAAAATAGAAAGTACAGCTGGCACTGACCATGTCGTTTGAAGGGTCATTAGTACCGCTTAGCGGACACGTAACACTCATTACTGTCAACTAGCCAAGCGGAGTACACAGGTCACTAAGGTCTTACCTGCACGAGCGCGCGTCACTCCATATAAGGATACGTAGTAATTAGTGTGTTAATGTATACATCACACGTTCCTCTGTATGTCCTAGTAACACTGTAATTAGTGTGTGTTAATGTATACATCACACGTTCCTCTGTTTGTCCTAGTAACACTGTAAATAGTGTGTGTTAATGTATACATCACATGTTCCGCTGTTTGTCCTAGTAACACTGTAATTAGTGCGTGTTAATGTATACATCACACGTTCCGCTGTTTGTCCTAGTAACACTGTAATTAGTGCGTGTTAATGTATACATCACACGTTCCGCTGTTTGTCCTAGTAACACTGTAATTAGTGCGTGTTAATGTATACATCACACGTTCCGCTGTTTGTCCTAGTAACACTGTAATTAGTGCGTGTTAATGTATACATCACACGTTCCGCTGTTTGTCCTAGTAACACTGTAATTAGTGCGTGTTAATGTATACATCACACGTTCCGCTGTATGTCCTAGTAACACTGTAATTAGTGTGTGTTAATGTATACATCACACGTTCCGCTGTTTATCCTAGTAACACTGTAATTAGTGCGTGTTAATGTATACATCACACGTTCCGCTGTATGTCCTAGTAACACTGTAATTAGTGCGTGTTAATGTATACATCACACGTTCCGCTGTATGTCCTAGTAACACTGTAATTAGTGCGTGTTAATGTATACATCACACGTTCCGCTGTATGTCCTAGTAACACTGTAATTAGTGTGTGTTAATGTATACATCACACGTTCCTCTGTATGTCCTAGTAACACTGTAATTAGTGTGTGTTAATGTATACATCACACGTTCCTCTGTATGTCCTAGTAACACTGTAATTAGTGTGTGTTAATGTATACATCACACGTTCCTCTGTTTGTCCTAGTAACACTGTAATTAGTGTGTGTTAATGTATACATCACACGTTCCTCTGTATGTCCTAGTAACACTGTAATTAGTGTGTGTTAATGTATACATCACACGTTCCTCTGTTTGTCCTAGTAACACTGTAATTAGTGTGTGTTAATGTATACATCACACGTTCCTCTGTATGTCCTAGTAACACTGTAATTAGTGTGTGTTAATGTATACATCACACGTTCCTCTGTTTGTCCTAGTAACACTGTAATTAGTGTGTGTTAATGTATACATCACACGTTCCTCTGTATGTCCTAGTAACACTGTAATTAGTGTGTGTTAATGTATACATCACACGTTCCTCTGTTTGTCCTAGTAACACTGTAATTAGTGTGTGTTAATGTATACATCACACGTTCCTCTGTATGTCCTAGTAACACTGTAATTAGTGTGTGTTAATGTATACATCACACGTTCCTCTGTTTGTCCTAGTAACACTGTAATTAGTGTGTGTTAATGTATACATCACACGTTCCTCTGTATGTCCTAGTAACACTGTAATTAGTGTGTGTTAATGTATACATCACACGTTCCTCTGTTTGTCCTAGTAACACTGTAATTAGTGTGTGTTAATGTATACATCACACGTTCCTCTGTATGTCCTAGTAACACTGTAATTAGTGTGTGTTAATGTATACATCACACGTTCCTCTGTTTGTCCTAGTAACACTGTAATTAGTGTGTGTTAATGTATACATCACACGTTCCTCTGTATGTCCTAGTAACACTGTAATTAGTGTGTGTTAATGTATACATCACACGTTCCTCTGTTTGTCCTAGTAACACTGTAATTAGTGTGTGTTAATGTATACATCACACGTTCCTCTGTATGTCCTAGTAACACTGTAATTAGTGTGTGTTAATGTATACATCACACGTTCCTCTGTTTGTCCTAGTAACACTGTAATTAGTGTGTGTTAATGTATACATCACACGTTCCTCTGTATGTCCTAGTAACACTGTAATTAGTGTGTGTTAATGTATACATCACACGTTCCTCTGTTTGTCCTAGTAACACTGTAATTAGTGTGTGTTAATGTATACATCACACGTTCCTCTGTATGTCCTAGTAACACTGTAATTAGTGTGTGTTAATGTATACATCACACGTTCCTCTGTTTGTCCTAGTAACACTGTAATTAGTGTGTGTTAATGTATACATCACACGTTCCTCTGTATGTCCTAGTAACACTGTAATTAGTGTGTGTTAATGTATACATCACACGTTCCTCTGTTTGTCCTAGTAACACTGTAATTAGTGTGTGTTAATGTATACATCACACGTTCCTCTGTATGTCCTAGTAACACTGTAATTAGTGTGTGTTAATGTATACATCACACGTTCCTCTGTTTGTCCTAGTAACACTGTAATTAGTGTGTGTTAATGTATACATCACACGTTCCTCTGTATGTCCTAGTAACACTGTAATTAGTGTGTGTTAATGTATACATCACACGTTCCTCTGTTTGTCCTAGTAACACTGTAATTAGTGTATTATTGTGTACGTCACACGTTCCGCTGTATGTCCTAGTAACACTGTAATTAATGTGTGTTAATGTATACATCACACGTTCCTCTGTATGTCCTAGTAACACTGTAATTAGTGTGTGTTAATGTATACATCACACGTTCCGCTGTTTGTCCTAGTAATACTGTAATTAGTGCGTGTTAATGTATACACACATGATCCTCTGTTTGTCCTAGTAACACGTTCCAACCGATGGTACGAACGAAAGGGAGATTTTGTGATTTTGCTTCATTGTGTCTTTACTAAAAAAGTACCAACTAGTCCACCTTATATGCTTAAATCCTCGAATTGAATTGCACACTGTTGACACTTGTGCAAGCACTTTTTTCTTTTCTGTTTGTCTGGCGTCCGAATTGTGAATTTTTATTTCCTAAGGCAGAACATAGATGCATTTTTCAAAAAACTTTCAATCTTGAGAAAAGTAAGAGAAATTGAGAGCTATCTTTCAGCTAGGGAACAAAAACGTCATGTTATAACTACGGAACAAGGAGAAAGGTAATAATGTAGTTAATAAACAAGATGGTCGTGTTGTAACTACGGAACAAGGAGAAAGGGAATAATGTAGTTAATAAACAAGATGGTCGTGTTGTAACTACGGAACAAGGAGAAAGGTAATAATGTAACTAATAAACAAGATGGTCATGTTGTAACTAAGGAACAAGATAATTAATTTCTAAATGTACAAGCAAGGAACTGTTACAATGAACTGTTGTTCGTCAAGCTTTTACAACATCTAGGTGTTTTATTATGTTACGTGTATTTAGTGTGGACAGGTATTCCGCGTTATTATGGTCAATAAAAGCATAAAGCCGTTTTATGTGGATTTCTATTTTTCAAGGTTGCCGAGACTTGCTGGACGTCATAGTGGTCGTTGACGGTTCGGACAGTATCACGGCTAAGGACTTTGTGACGTTGAAGCGGTCACTTGTAGACTTGATTGACGGACTACAGCTGGCAGATGACCAGGCAAGATTTGGACTTGTACTTTATAGTAGTGATGTGCCTGCCAAACTTCCGCTCAGTGCAGACCGGAGGCGACTGCGCATTGATACACTGGCGCTCAATCATCCACGTGATGGGACGAGAACCGATTTAGGTAACTTCGATGTATTCTATTGTTAAAACTCTGTAATATAGACACACTTGGACGACTGTTAAGTCATGTTGTCAACCATTCTGCATTTTAATGTTCGTATGCTTGAGTCATTCACTAAAAACCACCCAAAATTTCCTAAAATCTTAAAATCACTTTCTGTTCTTCCCTTTAAGGGGGGGGGGGGGGGGGGGTGTGTGTTATGGTTGTCTTCAGTGTTATGTCTGATTACAATCCTTGTGTTATTTGTCCTCAGTCATACAAATGTTTTATCCTTGTCTGTCGTCCTCAGTTACAATACACTTGTCAGTGAATCTTGTTTGGCTTCAGTCTGATGTTTAATTGATATAACTAAATAGTTATTATCTGATACATTTTTTTCTTTAGCACATTAACTTGTTTGCTTTCTTTGATTTCCAAATGAAGAGAAGTTTGCTGATAACTGAATTTTCGCTAAATTGGCGAATATATGTAAGAAACACGTATGTGAAACAGGACGTGATGAAAGTTTGTTTTTTTGATAATCGTGTTTTGTTGCTTTTTCGTTCTGTCGCCAAGAAAAAGCGCCATTTTACTAAATCAAACGGCGCATTAAGCTATGAAAAGCGAAAAATACATAATGACCACAAAAAGGGGAAACGAAAAACTCGCATTTAAGCTACTTAGAATGGATTTTTTTCGATATTTCGCCTTTCGTTTGATTTAAAAACCGCGAGTTCGTTCGGCGATTGACTATAGAAATTTGACAGCTTGATACATGGTTTTTTTCAAAGCGATATCTAATCTTGTATTGAGAGAAACAGAGACACGAAAGTGTATTGGATTTACCTGTAATCGTGATGTTCAACTTAAACACGTGTAGTGGGGCTTTGTTTTGATATCACCTAATGACGACAATTAAAACAACTTCCATGTTCTTCTCGCTCACAAAACACAAAAACCTCCCACGATTTAATAATGATGTGGCATGTTTGACAGTATCTACACGAAGGGCCACGTACGTCCTTCCTAACCCCGGTAATGTTTTATATACATTTTTGGGATACTTGTTTTAAGTATAGTGTGCCTTCTACGTTAAGTGTCATAAGTAACTGTTTATACAAATTTAATTTATACTCACAGGGTCCCTCAATATCAAGTTTCATTTTTTTCCCGGTTCTGTTCAGACATGGTTTCTGAACCGGGGCACGAATCACATTGGTTTCGGTACTGGGAAATTTAATACAATGTAATGTAACAAGCTGTACTGGAAAATTAAGTACTTTGAGTAATATATACCGGAGAATGTGATATGTTAGAACTGGGCCATGTAATACCTTGGTTTTTGTGCCTGGGGATGCACCACACTAATTTCCTTCGCAGGAAATGTTGTACTGTTTTTTTGTATGGAAGAAAATGTAGTCTAATGGTTTCTGTACCGGAAACTCCAATGGGAGAGTTGTGTCTGTACCGGGAACTCCAATGGGAGCGTTGTGTCTGTACCGGAAACTCCAATGGGAGAGTTGTTTCTGTACCGGAAACTCCAATGGGAGAGTTGTGTCTGTGCCGGGAACTCCAATGGGAGAGTTGTGTCCGTACCGGAAACTCCAATGGGAGAGTTGTGTCTGTACCGGGTCATGAAGTGTACTGGTTCCTCTACCCAAAAATGGGGCAAACTTCAATTCAATTCAATTTATTCTGTAAGCCTTACGGTTCATAAGACAAATGCTAATGTACGGGGAAATATGACCCACTGATTTATACTGGGGAAGGTGTTATGTTGGTTTCTGTACTGGGACATTTAGCACCTCGATTTCTGCACCTGGAAATGTAGCACACAACTTTCTGTAGCTTGTGCTGGTTTAAGTTGCGGGGAATTTACTTAACTGGTCTCTGTACATATATGTACCAGGAGATGTACCATTTAATGTGAAAACGTTTACGAGAGACAACTTTGAGCATTACTTATGGCTTTTAACTACCCTGCCAGAGGGGCAAATAAGCTTACGCCGTGGCACGAGGTCCGTCGTCCGTCAACGTTTTGTTTAAACGACTTTTTCTAAAGAGTGAAAACACCTAGAGACACGGTAATTGGCTAAAAGCTTCCTGTGATAGGGCCCAACAAAGTAGCGGATACAAATTACATTGAGCTGTTTTCAAGGTCACAAGGGTCAAATATGTCCAAAAAAACTAAACGACTTCTTCTGAAGAACAGAAAGGCCTAGAATCACGATATTAGGCTGGTAGCTTCCTGGTATTAAGTGCAATAATGTTTGCGAATAAAATGACCTTAATCTGTATCCAAGGTCACTGGGATCAACTAACACTTCAAACGACTACTTCGGAAGAATGTAAGGCCGACATAGAATCACGATGTTAGGCTGATAACTACCTGGGATGGAGCCCAACAAAATTCGTGAATAAAATGACTTTGATCGGTATTCAAGATCAGAGGGGTCAAATATGTCAAAAAGGATATTTGATTTCTCCTGTAGAATAAAAAGGCCAAGAATCAAATTTTGCCAGTAGCATGATGAGATGAAAGGATATATTTTTTTCAAATGAATGGCCTTCGCCTATATACAAGGTCATAGGAGTCAATTATATCAAAAACTTCTTCTAAATCACTGTAAGGCCTAGAGTCAAACAAAAAAGTTCAAAAAACCCTTAAAACCACTTTTGAACCAAAAAGCCACGGGTGATAATATTTTGCCTGTAGCATGCTTAGATGAAAAGCTATCAAGTTTGTTAAAATATCTTACTTTTCCCCTGAATTAAATATCACGGGGGGCAAACGATTTCAAAACCTGTAAAGCAACTTCTTCTGAATAATCTAAATACCTCGGATGATGAGCTTGCTTTGATGAAGGGCTATCATGTGTATTGGAATGAAAGACCTTCACCCATCGTCAAGATCGCATGGGTCAAATGTGTCGGAAACCTTTAAATGACTTCTTCTGAATACTCAAAGATCCTAGAGTGATGATATTTGGCCATTAGCATGCTGGGATGAAGGCTGCCGGGTTTTTGAAATGAATAACCTTCATAATTTTTTCAATGTCGATAGGGTCAAATATGTTAAAATCTTTAAACATACTGTTTAGTGTCATAAGTGATGGTATTGAGCCTTTACTTTTATTGAGTCCATTTAAATGTATTTGGGCTTTGTCCACTTTTACCGTCCTTAAATTACCAAAGCTGTTGATAAGACGTCAAACATTGCTAAACCAAACTAAACCAACTGTCCACTGTTAAGGTTACAAGTGTCAGATTAATAGCAGGAGAGCGATGTAGGCCCACTGAGCCTCTAGTTAAATATACCCTTCAGCTTTGACTAAAGCTATAATTGGTTTGGACTGACCACTGATTTGTTTATAACTATCCGTTTTATTATAATGTCATATGCCACAACTTAATGCTGTATAATTCTAGGTATCCAAGCGATGAGACAGATGTTTTCCAGACAAGGCCGCCGTAACGTTCCTCGTGTCGGCATCGTCATCACTGACGGAATCTCCAAGATTCCGACGCAGACGGCTCGCCAGGCGAACGCCGCCCAGTCAGAGGGAATAGACATGTTTGCGGTGGGCGTTACCCAGCTCATAGACAACGACGAACTTCGGTCGATTGCTAGTAACTCATCAAATGTTATGTCTGTATCGTCCTTCGATCAACTCAAGAGCGTCGTGTCGTCGCTGGTCCGCCAAGTGTGTCCAACGACCACCACCACCACAACGACGACAACAACGACCACTACGACAACTACAACCACAACGACTCCTGCACCGACAACGACGACGACCACGCCCACAACAACAACGACGACACCCACCACCACGACACCCACCACCACGACGCCCACTACCACGACTACCACGCCCACCCCTACCACCACCAAGCCCATAGGTAATACATGTACACGCTGGTTGGTATGTATGTTTGTATAGGGTTTAAAACCTCGTAACAGCTGACGTCATATGAAGACGAGTGCCCCGGGAGAAAGCACAGAAAAAAAAGAGTAGAGAAATGAGAAAAGAAATATCCAGACTATTTTAATTAGGGCAGCAGATCACATTTGGTTCCTTTAATGTCCTCGAAGACATATGAGAAAAAAACCTGATTCAACAGGTGTTCCCCCAGTAGCAGCTTTCTATGGTAACATTCAATGAAACAGGTACTCGAAGATGTAGGTTTCCGATACAAGTGTCTGATAAGTTTATGTTACAATTTAGGATTTGCATACATTATAGGAAACACATGATATATATTATTATATTCAGTCTGACTATTGGCAGATGATATGCCTAGAGTGGTTCACATCCCCTGAATTACAACATTCATTCGGAACTTGAACCTTCCAAATAAAATAAAAATCTTGAGATAAACGAGAACACACCTCTTAACAATGCTATAAAAGCATACCATTAGCTGGTCCTTCTACAACACTTAGATATATTCTGGCAGTTTGATTGTTTGCTGGAGGTCGGACATCTAAATTGTCAAAATATGGTTTAAGTCTGGTGGAAGTGCCAGGGAATTTTCAAAGAGTTTCCAAAATTTCCACTTGCAAGAATGTATTAAGCTTATTCCAAGTGCAATGTTTCAGACCCTTGTGACGGCTGTAGGATGAGAAATGGTGCCGGGTTTAACAGACATCCCACTGACTGCGACAAATTCGTACAGTGTTATTTCACTGCGGACGGAAAGCGGCAACACTCAATCCAGGAGTGCCCATGGGGGAATTTCTGGGATCAAGAAACCATGACGTGCAAGCCCGCCCACATGGTCTTCTGTCTGACGGGTAAACAAAACCTCAAAGCTCAGTTCATGCATCTCGTTTGGGAGATGTACAGAAGGGAGACAATATTGTTACGTGGTGTATCAGATGATAGTTCTGAAGTTGATCAATCCAAAAACCGGAAGCCAAAAACCGGAAGTAGTTGTAGAAGTTGTCATCATCATGGTGCGTTTAATCATGATCATGGTAATAGAGAGGATAAAGGTAGCAGTCAGGATAGCGATGACGATGGCAGTGATAGTGATAGTAGCAGTTCAGAGGAGAAAGGAGAATGAGAGTGCAGTAAACGTTAGGTGTCCGGTAAGGAACAGCGCGCATTATGTCACAGATGTCATTGATATCTCGGCTTCGCCTTTCTGTGGGCTGATAGAGCTATATGACCCAGACACATTGACACAGACCAGATCTCTTTTTATTTATTTCCTCATCCGGTTTTGGTCAAGGTAAAATACAAGCTATATTGGAAAGTACAAAGGTCGTTCGATTCCGGAATGTTGAAATTTCATAACGAACCAAGATAAAAAAAAAAAAAATCTTTTAGCAATAACCCCTTCCGTTTGAGCAAATCTATTTCAGTTTCTACCTAAATAAAGAGCTTGCAGTTATCATTTGGAATTTCCTTCTCTATCAATGTGTCTGGCTTTAGTTGTGTGCGGAGTGCAATGATCATCTGATCCTTACCGGGTATGTTTAGGAAACAGTGGCGTGGGGCTGTCGGGAGTTAGGAAAAGGGAGGGGACCTTTCTTGCTCTTTTGCATAATAATAGACTTTTCTTTCATTAGTTTTTGAAGATCTACAAGCCTTGGATCGACACAAGAGATAAGCAAAACCGGTTCTGTTCCTTCTTTTGAATCATTTCTCCCTTATTTCCCGGTGAATAATCATGTTTGAGAAAACAGTTAACTTACTATTCCAGTTTGTAGCATACTCTTACATACTTTCTTTTCAGGTAAACTTCATTTCCTATGTTTAAATAGGTTACCTGGTGCTGCTCAATGTTTTAAATCTAGGCATGGCTAAAATATACCGCTACTCTTCGCTTGAAAACATTTAGTCCATATCACATTCAAAATTTTCAATTTTCGGAGATTCATATATCTTAATTTATAGTTTTCAAAAAGATTACCTTTAAAAGTCAACAGACGGAGATATCTTAATAAAAAAAATCTCGCCAAAATCTCGCTAAGTTTAAACTACTTTGTAGAATGCAGTAATCAAAGCACCTGCTCTACATACTTCGCTATGAAGATCAACAGGAGACTCGGTATTAAGGGACGCAATTACAGAATGTATACCCAATATTGCCGGCATTCCTTATACACTTTAGCAAATAAGTTTGAACATTTGAGTTAGCGTCTATTTAGCTTTACACACATGGTATCTGTAGATTGTTGGTGTTTCTTTCATATTTAACTTGGTTATTCCTGTTTTATCGGAAACACAGTTGTCCATACGAAAGAAAATATTGTTTGTGGTCATGCGTAGTGTATCTCTCCTTTGCATCATTAAATTAGTTACATAAAAAAATAGGAAGAGAACCGACAATTTAAAATACACTGGGTTAACACTTCCCTCTCAATTTTTATACGAGTTATGTATCTTAGATCCCGACTTTTCCTTAGCATTCTTCGTTACCAGTGGTGTGTTCGTAATTTCTTAATACTAATGGCTTTTCTGAACTTCCTGAATGCTAGTGGCTATCTCGAACTTCCTCAGTTCTAGTGCCTATCTCGACCTTTCTCAATATTTGTGGTTATCCTTACCTTTCTGAACACCACTGAATATTTCAACCTTGCTTCATACTAGTGACTTTCTCGATCTTTCTCAAACCCACTGTTTATCTCGACCTTCCTTATCACTAGTGACTATATCGACCTTCCCCAATACTAATGGCTCAATACTATTGGCTAACTCAATCTTTTTCACTAACACGAGTTATTTGGACTTCCTCAATGATAGTAGCTTGCCTGAATTTTCTCAATACTGGTGGCTATCTCGAACTTCATCAGTACTAGTGGCTATCTCGAACTATTTCAATACTCTCAACATTTGTGGTTATCTCGACCTTTTTTTCATAACACCGGTTGTTTCAACCTTCCTCTATACTAGTAGCTTTCTAATTCGGTCTTTCTTAATACTAGTGACTATCTCGACCTTCCTCAACATTTGTGACTCAATACAAGTGACTCAATACTAATGACTTTCACAACCTTCTTAACCTTCGTCTTTACTGGTTACTTTCCCTGTCTTCCTCAAAATCACTGTTTATCTCGACCTTCTTGAATACTAGTATCTATCTCGAACTTCCTCAATATCAGAGGCTATCTCGAACTTCCTCAGTACTAGTAGCTATCTACTTTTCTCAATATTTGTGGTTATCTTAACCTTGCTGAACACCACTGGCTATCTCGACCTTCCTGGACACTACTGGTTATTTCAACCTTCCTCCATACTAGTGACTTTCCCGATCTTTCTCAAACCCACTGTTTATCTCGACCTTCCTTATCACTAGTGACTATCTCGACCTTCTTCAATAATAATCGCAACCTCGACTGATTTCAATATCATCGGCTATTTCTACCTTCCTTCATACTAGAGGCTTTCCCGATTTTTTTTCAAAGCCACTTGTTATCTCGACCTTCTTTAATACTAGTGACTATCTCGACCTTCTTCAATACTAATGGCTGTCTCGACCTTTTTCAATGGCATCGGTTATTTTGACTTTCATCCTTACTAGTAGCTTTCCCAATGTTTGTCAAAACCACTGGTTATCTCTTTCTCCCTCAAAACCAGTGATTTGTCCATTTTAGACCTTCTTTAATACCAATTATTTAATTTAATATTAGTGATAATCGCGACCCTTTTTAATACTACTGGATTATCACGACCACCTTTTTCAAAACTAAACAATGATGCGAGACATCCGAATAAAAAAATACTGGGTTAAACTCGCATGTGTTTGAGGACCAATTTTGTAATTTATTGGTTATCATTCGTAATAACGAAGTCCTACTTGCGCACAGAAATATGTCGCTACAGGACCAATAGTAAAGCTTAAAGCTTCGTTATAACAAGGTTTAGTTGTATTTTATTTTATTTTTTCATTTTACAGAAAAAAGAGTGGTTTGTTATTAATGTGTTTTCTATCGCACATTATATACAAAAAACTTATAATAAAGCCTTACCACTGATTTTCGGTTGCCCGTTTTTATTTCACAACATTTCGTTTTATTTATTGTATGGCTTGAACTTTTGCTAGGCATTAAACATCTGTTGGTGTTTTGTAAACCTCCGCTTGAAACGTGCTGTGTATTGTTGGTAAACATTATTACAAACTTAAATATATTTCTTTTTACTCTTCTCGCCTGGTTTCAGTAATAAGATGTAGGATCCATTCAAAAATCTTTTTGTTTTAGAAATCTTACTGAAATTGGAGTACTTTAAAATGAAAGGCGTGTATTTTCCTCCTTGATTGTACAAACACGTCTATAGATACATATGCCTGGAGAGCCCTGTGAAGGGTGAAAGCAGCCTGTTTTTAGTCGGTCGTTAGATATTATTTTTTCTATAGATACATATGTATATATTTGTCAGAATTTCTACCAAGGATTATATTCATTATTCAGAATTTCTTTGGAGTCAAAACTCTTTATTGTATGAAAACCCACCCTACGGCTAGTGTGCTAGTGTTAGTGAAAATCCCAGAAACGTTCATTGCCTGTAATTTCACTCTCGGACGTTTTCCTGCCATGAAAAAACTGTCAAACTTGTACCAATTTGTTTGTAGAGTGACAAGCAAATTGGTACAATTTTGACAGATTGGTTCCTTGCGCTACACTTCATTCACTTCCGTTCCACTCCTTTTTGTATAGTCTTCATACATACACCATATCATGTGATAAAATTACGAAAGAAAAAATGATCTTTTTCTTACATTGATACAACTATATCATGATTTAATCAATTAAGCATATTCATGAAAGCTTTCGTCAAATTATTACATTGGATTATTTTGGCGGAAATTTTTGTGAGCCAGCAATCACGTTATATATCCCCTGTATATATTTTTGTTTTCCTTGTGGGTTTCCACGTTGTGTTTTGTTTAAAAAAAACTAAAATCACAACGAAAGATTATAGTTATTATATTATGATCTTTGAGTTAAATGATAAAGAAATGGAATGTTGACTGACTATTCATTGATTACCGCTCGTAAACGCCTTCCCCAGATCCTTTGAGTTAAAGATTTCTTGGTGCAAGCCCTCTGGAGATCGTTCTTAAAGATGATCTGACATATTTTTAAGTTTCCCGATTCGAAACATTCCTCTTTTTTTGTCAAACACTTTCCACACAATTAGCCGCTATCTTGTTCCGATTAACTGTGACCTCGAGGTCAAATGATATATAGTTCGTGAGTCGTTTACTGAGGTGAATGGAACTTAGCGCATTGAACCCTGGGATACATTGCCAATTGCTTGATTGTCTGGGAACTTTTCCCAGTAAATAAGACAAGAGTGCGAAACATCTTATCATGTGGCAAATGAAGAAAGTTTCAATTTACCCTAATTGCTTACGTCAGGGTAACCTCAAGAGAGAAGATGTAAATGAGTGCTGCTCCAGTAGAGAAATAAACTTGGAATAGTTTTGCAGTAAGCCGCATGTGTTAGTAGTTGAACAGTAGTGGTTAATAGTGTAGCAACATAAAGATGTACTATCACTTTAACAGAATTGGAAATAAAAGTGTATGGAATGGCATGTGTATTTACATTTTTTATAAATAGATTTATCAAAAATCACAAAAAAATGTTTGAATGAATTAAAATTACTTTCATTAGCATAGAGTAGCATTAGTTTCTACGGCTTACTACAATTCTAATCTGGGTTTATTTCTTGCAGACAAGTGTGGCGACCCGTACATGCAGGCCCACAAGCACACGTCAGACTGCCGGTCGTTCTGGTACTGTAACAACAGAAAGTCATTTCCAATGTGTTGTCCAATGAACACATCATTCGTCGAAAACGTTGGCTGCGTTCCTGACAACAGTTGCCATGAGCATTGTCCACCACGTGACTCTGGTACCCCGGTCAGATTTGTGAATAGAAACCAAGGAAAGAACGACCCACCGATCATGGCGGCACCTGTACCAGGAGTCGGCCACGCTCCTCCGACACAGAAAGGTTTGATGAGATTTCATGTTTATAAACACAATAGGAAAGATAACTGTCTTCATAAAAAACAAACATTTAATGTTACACAGAAAAAAAGAAAGAGAAAGAGGATTAAGAAAAAATCACCGCCAGATACTTACAGATTGACCAAACAGAAAACCACGAGAAGAAATCGTATCTTGCAAAAGTATAAGGATAAACTAGAAAAACGACGAAAACAGAAATTACGAAAGACAAAGAGAATGTTTAAGAATGTTCAAACCAAGGACAATAAAAGACGAAACTTTTCCAGAAAAAACGAAGTTCTTCAATTAATGAAAAGAGCTGAACAAAGAAAATCTACCTATTCAGCGTTCTCTAAACCTAAACGTTTTAAACCCAAAAAGATTAGGGCTAAGAAGAATTTTTCGTTTTGGCACCCGAAAAGTATTTCACATAGAAAGAGACACCGTGACGACCTCCCAGTTATTAACATAGTCACGTTTAGTAAGCAAACACCAAATATTTCAAGGAAAGCCAAAACGTATAAATTCCCGAAACCGAAAGTGTACGTCGATAACTCATGTTTGGGCCCGACGGGGTGTTTGCCAACCAAGACGCTTATACAGATACTAAATACAAATGCTATTGCTATACCTAAAGTTTTAGGCAAGTTTGCATTTTAGTGTTTGTAGATTGTAAAATTGGTTGTGCATGCATTGATGAACACCGTATTCGCCGCAATTAGCGTTTTAAAAATGGCCTAAAGAGGGTGAGGGACGTTTGAGATATCAAAAATGTAAGCTATGACAGAAAATATTGTGCAACATGTTACGACAAGATGTTATCACCGATGGCATTATAAGTATTGACAAGACTGGGGCAGCTCTGTTATTATATTTCATACATATAACAGCGTATTTGATTGGACCGGGCTAATCACATGACTTTGAAATAATTCGCTGTGTTTTTTCCTCTAGCGCTGGAACATCCTTGGTCATGCTTGTTTATTTTTATTTGTCGTGTAGCACTGTTCCTAAATCTAAATCCCATGTCTTGCCTTCGCCACTTCATTTATCTGGCAAAGATGCATTTCATTCCATTTGACGTGGTTGAATGTACAATACATGTTAATAGTTTTCCTGACAAACGCCGAGCATATCTGATGTGACTAGATACCCGGTATATTGATAAAATTTACACAAATTATATTTCTTTTATCACTCCCCATATAATCGTACTCTTCCTGTTCATATACAGTAAGACTCAAAGTACTGTTATTGCACAGCAATTCAAACATAAAAAGTTATTTTCTGTAAAAAAAAAATCATTCTTAAAAATGTGTACGATCGCCGGCCATCATGTACAGTAGTTAAATTGGTTAGAGCGATCTTCTAGAGTTCGAATTCCGGTCTGGCCGTGCATTTTTCCTCTCCTGTTACATTAAGTAACGAAAGTAATACAGTCATGTCGGATAATCCTTAAATCAACTGATATACAAACTCCAATTTATGGCAATCATTCGATATTTTACAGGATTACTGATAACGAACTCTTAGTATACTTCCTCGAGGAGTTCCGAGTGAAAGTCTGCATCGTGATTTCACATATGACTTGTCTTACCACGGGGCTGAACATACATGTAATGTCTTGCCACGTAATTATATATAATTTAATAACGTATCTCCCCACGTGACTGTACACAAGATGTGACTAACAACATAAAAGTACCCATAACATGTCTACTCTATGACGTGTCTAATCACCGAACCGATGAGCCGTAAAATTCAAGGTAATAAAGAACTGAACCGAAAAATCACGTGACTTTACATATAACGTCTTTACTACAGATGTGTACAATTATATCATGTATCCCGGACAGGACGTTGAATTGAAAGACTTGAAATGGTAACAATGCGTCAAAGTTAATTGAACTATAGGTACCGAAGAAAGACATAAAAGAATACCAATATAAAGGCTGAAACGCCGTGATAGTATTCAGTGACGGATACACTGTGTATTTATCAGGTCAGCGACTGATACAGTGTGTATTTATCAGGTCAGTGACTGATACAGTGTGTATTTATCAGGTCAGTGACTGATACACTGTGTATTAACCAGGTCTGTGACTGATTCATGTACACAATGTATTTATCACGTCTGTGACTGATGCACAATGTATTTACCAGGTCAATGACTGATACAGTGTGTATTTATCAGGTCAGTGATTGATACAGTGTGTATTTATCAGGTCAGTAATTAATACAGTGTGTATTTATCAGGTCAGTGACTGATAAAGTGTGTATTTATCACGTCTGTGACTGATACAGTGTGTATTTATCAGGTCTGCGACTGATACACTGTGTATTTATCACGTCTGCGACTGATACACTGTGTATTTATCAGGTCAGTGATTGATACAGTGTGTATTTATCAGGTCAGTGACTGATACAGTGTGTATTTATCAGGTCAGTGACTGATACACTGTGTAATAACCAGGTCTGTGACTGATTCATGTACACAATGTATTAAGCACGTCTGTGACTGATGCACAATGTATTTACCAGGTCAATGACTGATACAGTGTGTATTTATCAGGTCTGCGACTGATACACTGTGTATTGATCAGGTCAGTGATTGATACAGTGTGTATTTATCAGGTCAGTAATTAATAAAGTGTGTATTTATCAGGTCAGTGACTGATAAAGTGTGTATTGATCACGTCTGTGACTGATACAGTGTGTATTTATCAGGTCTGCAACTGATACACTGTGTATTTATCACATCTGCGACTGATACCGTGTGTATTTATCAGGTCAGTGAATGATACTGTGTGTATTTATCAGGTCAGTGACTGATACAGTGTGTATTTATCAGGTCAGTGACTGATACACTGTGTATTGATCAGGTCAGTGATTGATATAGTGTGTATTTATCAGGTCAGCGACTGATACAGTGTGTATTTATCAGGTCAGTGACTGATACAGTGTCTATTTATCAGGTCAGCGACTGATACAAGGTCTGTGACTGATTCATGTACACAATGTATTTATCACGTCTGTGACTGATACACAATGTTTCTATCAGGTCAGTGACTCATACAGTGTGCATTTATCAGGTCAGTGACTGATACACTGTGTATTTATCAGGTCAGTGATTGATATAGTGTGTATTTATCAGGACAGCGACTGATACAGTGTGTATTTATCAGGTCAGTAACTGATACACTGTGTATTGATCAGGTCAGTGATTGATATAGTGTGTATTTATCAGGACAGCGACTGATACAGTGTGTATTTATCAGGTCAGTAATTAATACAGTGTGTATTTATCAGGTCAGGGACTGATACAGTGTCTATTTATCAGGTCAGTGACTGATACTGACAGATACAGTGTGCATTTATCAGGTCATTGATTGATACAGTGTGTATTTATCAGGGCAGTGACTGATACAGTGTGTATTTACCAGGTCAGTGACTGATACAGTGTCTTTTTATTAGGTCAGCGACTGATACAGTGTGTATCTATCAGGTCTGTGACTGATACAGTGTGTATTCATCAGGTCATTGACTGATACACAATGTATTTATCAGGTCAGTGTCTGATACACAATCTGTTTATCAGGTCAGTTTATCAGGTCAGTGACTGATACACTGTGTATTTATCAGGTCAGTGACTGATATTGTGTCTATTTACCAGGTCAGTGACTGATACAGTGTCTATTTACCAGGTCATTGACTGATACAGTGTCTATTTATCAGGTCAGTGACTGATACACTATGTGTTTAGCAGGTCAGTGTCTGATACACAATCTGTTTATCAGGTCAGTTTATCAGGTCAGTGACTGATACACTGTGTATTTATCAGGTCAGTGACTGATAAAGTGTGTATTTATCACGTCTGTGACTGATACACAATGTTTCTATCAGGTCAGTGACTCATACAGTGTGCATTTATCAGGTCAGTGACTGATACAGTGTATAGTTATCAGGTCAGTGACTGATACAGTGTATAGTTATCAGGTCAGTGACTGATACAGTGTCTTTTTATTAGGTCAGCGACTGATACAGTGTGTATTTATCAGGTCTGGGACTGATACAGTGTGTATTTATCAGATCAGTGACTGGTACAGTGTCTATTTATCAGGTCAGTGACTTATACAGTGTGTATTTATCAGGTCAGTGTCTGATACACAATCTGTTTATCAGGTCAGTTTATCAGGTCAGTGACTGATACACAATGTGTTTAGCAGGTCAGTGTCTGATACACAATCTGTTTATCAGGGCAGTGACTGTTACAGTGTGTATTTATCAGGTCAGTGTCTGATACACAATCTGTTTATCAGGGCAGTGACTGTTACAGTGTGTATTTATCAGGTCAGTAATTAATACAGTGTGTATTTATCAGGTCAGTGACTGATACAGTGTGTATTTATCAGTCTGTGACTGATACACAATGTATTTATCAAGTCAGTAACTGATACACAATGTATTTATCAGTCTGTGTCTGACACAGAGTGTATTGATCATGTCAGTGTCTGATACACAATGTGTTTATCAGGTCAGTGACTGTTACACACAATGTATTTACACAATGTATTTATCAGGTCTGTGACTGATACAGCGTGTATGTATCAGGTCTGTGACTGATACAGTGTGTATTCATCAGGTCATTGACTGATACACAATGTATTTATCAAGTCAGTGACTGATAAACAATGTATTTATCAGGTCTGTGACTGATACAGTGTGTATTTATCACGTCTGTGACTGATACAGTGTGTATTACAGGTCAGTAATTGATACACAATGTATTTATCAAGTCTGTGACTGATACAGTGTGTATTTATCAGTCTGTGACTGACACAGAGTGTATTGATCAGGTCAGTGTCTGATACACAATGTGTTTATCTGGTCAGTGAATGTTACACAATGTGTTTATCAGGTCAGTGACTGTTACACACAATGTATTTATCAGGTCTGTGACTGATACAGTGTGTATTTATCAGGTCAGTGACTGATACAGTGTGT